GCTATTTGTATTGATCTCTCCCTTCGTCGCCGTTAAATTCGTTAGTAAGCAGATAATTAGAGTCCTTCTCAAGATCACTTCATCCAATAATCGAAGAACCTAAATAGCGTAGATCTATTTTAATTTGTAGTGGAACTGTTAAGAAAAGAGTAGTTCACTACAATCATTTCGTAAATGCACATATCCTAGATGTTTAAAGAAAGTCTACTCGTAATTTTTTCAACAAGTTCTCGTAAAATTTTCTAATAATTGTGATCATGTATTATAATTTGATACCCTTGTATGTTTTAACTGTGGATGTCTTATGTTAACTAATTGTATAAATATCCATTTTTCGAAATTTAAAAAAGAAAGTTTTGAACTTATTCTTTTCGAGAATCCGATTATTTATGATTTTAGTATATAGTATTTTTATTATTTCTTCGTAACTATTCTGTAACCCTTAATCCATATAGAACTAGTATTCGTATCTTACTGTACTATTTAATGTATTTTAATTCTTTCTTTCTGTATCCTGTATCCTGTACTCTTAATATCTTGTATTATCCAACCCTGTACTCTTCTTATATCCTTTATCTCTGTACTAAAACATGCTGTATCTCTGTCACCAATGTTCTGTATCCTGTTTCCTGTATCCTGTACCCTTATTTTCTGTATACCGTATCTCTTTACTCTGTATCATGCATCTCCGAACTTCAATATCCTGTATCCTGTATCTCTGTACTCCTTATTCTATTTCCCCGTTACCGGTGTGCTGTATCCTGTATCCTGTTTCCTTTCTCTAATTTCTGTATTCCAATATTCTGTATTCAATATCTGTATTACAATTTTATGTAATTCACTATTTTGTGCCCTGTATCTCTGTACTGTATCGAAACCAACTTATTAAGTAATTAACTAAACTTATCTATAAAATGCACGTGATTCATTAATAGTAGGATTATTATCATTATTTTTATCACCATCATTTTCAGACAAAAATGAGATTCAACCCGGAAACCAATTTTTAGACTACAAATCTGAAACCTTTAAAACCAGGAGCGGGTAAATTGGAACTAGTCTTCAGACGCTCAGGAACCAGGAACTATAGGAACCAGTGATTCATGGAGATGAAAAAAATCGACCAAGCTGGTAATTCATTTGTATTGTATAGGTGGCATCTCAATTTTACGAATTTCGACCATTAAAATGTGACGAATTTTTGAAATTTCCTTCATTGCTTCCGCTGCAAAAGTCATTATCTAGGATTGATAATAAACAATTTTTAGCATTAAATGAGCAAAAATTTAAAAGACACCGTTTGTGTTATCGGCTGGTCAATCTCCAAATCAACGGTGTCTGAATTTAATGAATTTAAGCCGCGTCTCAAATTCCCCCAAAAACCGGTTTCAAGTGAGCTTAATTCTTGAAAAATTTAATACAAATTGAAGTGGAACTACCAAAATTTGAGCCGCAGCTTAAATTCTTTAAATTCGGTACAGTTTTCTGGGTTACACACAAAGGACAAACCTTCAGAGACGATGGTACGGAATGTACAGTGTCCGTGTCTGTTTCCTTTCATTCATGATTCCCTCCAATGCAACTTCTAAGCATGTTTTAAGCTATGAAAGAATTATATTTAAGGTAGAAAACTCGACTTAACTTTCGGGATCGTGAGCATCTAAGTTTCTTTGAAGGATAATACTGTAGGATGATGAACAGGAAAATTAAGGATGAATAAATGTATCATTTACTCTCAGACAAATTTCCATTGATTCTAATTTGCCTGAGAGTTAATGACATTCCTTTGTAAAAAATAACAAATTATTTTTATTATTTATTATTATTTTTAAAAGGGGCGGGATTAGATAAAAATTGTTGCATACCAAAAAAAACAGCTTTTTATAAAGGAATGAGAATTTTTGAATAAATAAAAGAGGTTTTAAAGAATAAATGCAAATTGAGCGAGTTAATGAGAGAGGTGAAGGAAGAAATGACAGAGCTTAAAGAAAAAATAGACAATTAAAGGGAGTTTGAAGAGAGTTCCAAAAAAATGAGAAATTATATTCTTGAAATTGATCCAAAATGTAATTTGTTTAAATTCGAAAATATCACTTCCAATTGCATGCTTTAAATTGATAAACAAATTCTATATTAAAGAATTTTAAATTTCCAGGAAAGCAAAACTGAAGTAGCTCTTCATTAGATCCTTATTTTTTTCTTTATTTTATAAAGTATTATTTACTTTAGACACCAATAAAATTCAAAAGAAGTTCAAGGCTTTCGAATTTTAAGTCGGAACTTATGATTAAAAATTCGATAATCAAATAAACTTAACTTTATCTTCAAAATGAAATTTTTAAGCGAATTTTTCTGATTTTAGAAATATATATCCCAAGGAATTAACTTAATCCGTCGGACGGCATAATATACAGATAAGCGGATTAACTTAATCCGTCGGACGGCATAATATACAGATAAGCGGATTAACTTAATCCTCGGACCGCATAATATACAGATAAGCGGATTAACTTAATCCTCGGACCGCATAATATACAGATAAGCGGATTAACTTAATCCTCGGACTGCATAATATTCACTATACAGATAAGCGGATTAACAATGTATAAAAGTTTCAGCCTCATGTATTTATATAGCAGGTGGAGCTGAGGTCGGGGTAGAGGCCGGGGAGGACTGCCAAGAGGCTGGGGAGGACTGCCTAGAGGCTGTAGAGACCGACAAAGCTGATCTTATTCAAGATAACGGTAAAATGTTAATCTCAAGAATGGTTTAATTCCGTAAAAGACAGATTTTTTAATTTGTCTGTTCCAAAAATTTCCTTTGTGGAATTTCTCTCGTTGAATTCGCAACTTTCGTGTGGAATACCGTTATCTTGAACGCTTGTTCTCGATATCCAATGTGGGCACGTTTACATTGGAGATCAAAATTTGATTTTAGTTATCCCTGCAGGGTATTATCATCACGTGAAATCGAAGAGGAATTAAATGAATCCTAATACGCTGGTGGAAGAAGTTAATCCGGAATCATGGCTCTAACTTGGTCGTGACACCCGACGTTAGGTCTAAACTATGGCAGGCCGTAAAGCCTTGATCTAGGCGGGATCGTGATGGCGTACCCCATTTAGATCGAGGAGCCCACGGGACCTCCCTAGCTTCTTGAATTGAATTGAAGACGGAAATCAATACTTGATTCCAAGTTCTCACTTTTGAAATTACAATAATTGCAGTGTTCGGATTTTTAACTATTAGACAGTGAATAGGAGTAAAGGGAAGGGAAATGGCGCTGGTCTGGCATGAGAAAGTCGGTCGCACTGCTTTGCAGACGAGTTCGGTATTCCTTACACGCACTCTTTTGGTTCATAATCACAACATGACTACAGTCAAGGAAATTGCAGAACAATGTCGTTAATTATAATTAAACTTGAAAACGAGTAGTTTATTGTAAACTTTAATCAAATTATATTCCTTGCATAAAAATTTGGCTTATGAAGTGTTGACTTAAATATGTAAATAATATATTACATGTATATTAAACTTATTTTTAAGTAAACAATTTACAATAAACAAATGCACTCTCCTAGACTGTATGAATACCGAGATTCTTACGTACTGTATATACCTACAGTACACGCCTTCTTCGGTTCGGTATTCCTTACACACACTCTTTTGGTACAGACACACACACATGAAGTTTCCGCCCCCTGCTATTAGAGGACAAAATATATTATTAGATTTAACTTTTTTGGGATTATTTTTTATTGTTATTACTGTTTAGATGAGAGAAACTTGAATTTTTATTGTTATTATTGGTTAGATGAGAGAAATTTGAGTTTTTATTGGTATTATTGTTTAGATGAGAGAAACTTGAGTTTAGTATATGGAGGACTGGAATATGAAGAACTCTCAAGGTGAAAACAATTTTCTTTTTCATTTGACGTAATTGGAAATAACCTTCTACTGAAACCTGCGCCTGATCAAGAATGAATGATTTTCTAGTCAAATTTTGAAACCCTCATTAATGAGATTTGCGGATTTTTGCGACTGTTATTTCATGCATAACGAAGAATGAGGTGGGCTTCGTTTGCCTCAGTTTGTTGAGATGCGTCTGTTCAAGAAGAGGCTCACAATAAATTACGCCTGTTTTCTAAATCATTTCGACAAATAAATAAGAAATAAATAAATAACATTTTTTTATCAAATAATTGAATAAACACTTTTAGATGTCGAATGGAGGACATTTATACATTATACACTTCTAATATATGAGGGGAAAAAAATCTGAAGTTTTAAATTTTTTAGCTGCAACCTGGAGGAGATGACGTGTGTAGAATGGAGAACTAGGGCTGAAGAAGAGCTCCAGGAGAAATCCGAATGGAGGGAGAGAGATATCCAGGCTCTCAGGTAATCAAAACCTGGGAATCCCCCCCATCTCATCCAGGCTCTCTGGTAAATCAAAACCTGGGAATCCCCCCCCCCCATCCATCTGAATTTTACTCCATGTATTTTATATGATTTCAACGGATTAATGGTTGACGGGCTATTATCATAATTATTAAAATGTTTAGAGAAAGTGTATAAATTATCTTTTAAAAACTCCCCCCTCTCTAAATTTTACTCTTGTGTGTTTTACTTCTTTTTATCTCTAATTTGATCAAATGTGGTTTTTCGCTTGCATGTTTTTTCTCGATAATATCTCCCTAAAATAGAGATCTTTTGGATATCGTTCTGAATCTGACATGGAGGGTCACTTAGAAATATGCTTAGTCCATTTAATATAGGGACTCCATTGAAACTCGTCTAAAAACCCTTTAATACGTCTACAGTCCCTTTAATATGTCTACAGTCCCTTTAATACGTCTACAGTCCCTTTAATACCTCTACAATCCCTTTATTACGTCTACAGTCCCTTTAATACGTCTACAGTCCCTTAAATACATCTACAGTCCCTTTAATACGTCTACAGTCCCTTTAATACGTCAACAGTCCCTTTAATATGTCTACAGTCCCTCAATATGTCTACAGTCTCTTTAATATTTCAGGGACCTGGTTGAGGCTGAAGAAGGTTTAGTGTGTGACACATCAGATGCATTTCTTATTAAATTCCTCAGGAACACATAATTCTAAATTAAACCATTTAAACATTATTATTTTGGGTTGCAGCAAATTGATTATTAAGTACAATAGGTGGCAACAGAGAAATTAACCAATTATCTACTACGTCACAAGTGTCAAATATAACAAGGAAAACAAAATTGTCTCACATTAGTTGACATGTTTTCCAAGATTAAATAAAAAAGTGTAAAAACAGAAACTAAAGAACACATAAAAATGCACTTATTTTACTTCAGGAAAAGCACTTTATTCTAAAATTATCACTATTATTGATGATTTTGTCGGACACACAAACTGAATTGACACTTGTGACGACAGAATACAACTGTACTAAGAATGAACAAATTCTACGTTGCCATCTTTTGTAATAGAATCTATTTGGGTTGCAGTGATGTAAAGACAGAAATGTTCTTTTCATTGATAATAGTCTAGCCTAGATTATATTTTGTCCCGACCTACTAAATAGTTTTAAATCCTAATTTTTTAAACTGTCTTATCAGTTATAAATTGTGGTCACTCTTTGATATAATAAGCTTTGAAAAACAAAAATAAAAAGTTAATTTTGTTATTCTGAAGAAAATCCGGGAACCAATTAAACTATGTGCTATGATATACACATACATAATACAGCTAATTAGTAATTAACATTTTAGCATGATGAATAATATAAAACACTTATATAAGAAGATTGAGCATGAACGTAGCATGTTTGTGCACAATATTTCTTCAAATAGTTATGGAGAAATTGAACAAAATAATAAGAATTATAAAATAGTTTTATCAGTATATTGACAGAATTATTATTTCATAGAGTACTTCACACATCAGAAGATCAAGCAGATGTTAAAGATCTGATTCTGAGAATTGACTTATCATTATTTTAAAGTTTTCATACTTTTCCTTATCTTTATATTTTTTTCTAATGATATTGTTTTTCATTTTTCCATGTCTTATATTTGACTGGTTAGTTATTTATCTACTTTGAAAATAATTTTTATAAAATCATAAATATTTTTCCACAAATTTTTTCTTGAATTTCGATGTTTTGTGTTAGAGCTAAGAAGTTTGATTATGAATCAAGTTTCCGGATGCTGCAGAGATATTTGGGCCTACGAGCTCGAAGCCCAGGGTATGTTCAGACGTTATTTCTTTTCATTTTTTCTTATCCTTGTTTGGTTTTGAGCGTCCCTTTTGGATTGGCGATTAAAGGATTTTTCTTAAACGCACTTTTCAATTTAAGTATATTTGAAATTACATTTACTGTCCGAGGGGGGGAGTCCAGAGTTTCTCAAATAGTAATCACCGCCACCCAAATCTGTTTCGCGGCAAGCGCGCTCCTCAATTGGTAATCTCCACCACCTCAAATAGTAATCACCATAAAATTTTGTTTTATGTGATTTGAATTTAATGCACTTTTAACACAATTTTCGACATCTATCGGGGTTATATGGCATCTGTATTGACTTAAACTAAATTTTCAAATTATTTTCAGATTTTTTTGGTCAACAAAAACTGAGAATCAAGGCACAGTTCATTTTAGCCGAATCTTAGATCCAATTGGCCACTTTAATGACTGCATTTCATGATTGGCGTCAAGATACAAAAAAGGTCGGGCTGCCTGTTTACTAAAAATTATCTCATCGCGCACAAAGTAATATCAATCTCCATTTAAAAGATATTTTCAAAAAACCTTTACAGTGTTTAGATTTTTGTATTAGCCAACTCGAGTTCAACATCTACAACAAAACTAATTATATGCATAGAAAGAACATAAAATTTTGAAAAATTAGTCTTATCACACCAACTACTGAAAATGAAGTATTTAGTCCACTAATAATGGGTTAAAGTTTCCTCTGCATATAAGGAGTTTAAAACAACATTCAGAGGAAAATGCCGCAAACATTCTTAAAGCGAAACTTGAAACTAAAAAACGTAATATATTTCTAGCACTTAGTGTGGCATATTTATTGATTTATTTTCGAAACTAAGGAGCAATAAAGAAAGCTTTAACAATATCGTACACCATAGGGCCATTAAAAGAGGTCAATATGGTCTTATTTCTAAGAAATAAACGATTTAATTTTATGCTTTTTTGGGGTGATTACTATTTGAGGTGGTGGAGATTACCAATTGAGGAGCGCGCTTGCCGCAAAACAGATTTGGGTGGCGGTGATTACTATTTGAGAAACTCTGGACTCCCCCCCTCACTGTCCCTTGAAAGTTGAAAACCTTCTTCTAGGGAACAGTTATGCCCTCTAGCGGACTAATATCGAACTGATCTTTGTTTTAGTAACTTTGCAAAGAGTCTTCCTTCCCAAACCGGTTCCATTTTTGAACAGCAGTTGCAGCACGTGCTACCACACAGGTAAAACTAAAAAAGCCGCAAAAAAAATGTAAAATCATTACAAATCTTATATTTTTAGGGACCACATGGCACGGAGGGTGTTTATGTTTAGAGCCGGAAAATGGGATACTGGTCTGTTAAATGCACAGGTTATTATGATCTTGTATAAAATAAAGCATATTTAAATATATGAAAGCATATAATTTCATTTGGTTAAGATCGTTTTTTCCTATATAATATTAATAAAGCTCTTCGCTCATGAATTTATATTTGTATGTAATTAATAATTTACTATTCAAATCAAAAAGAGATTTACATCTTTATGTTAGCTAGAGCTGGCCAAACGGCTTGACCAAATTGGCTGACATTTTTTGAGGGAACTCATGGGTGGGGTAACATAGGCTAAATAAATAATTTTTTTTCTTCAAGAAATAAATTTGTTTTGTCTGTATTTTCTTAAAGGGTCAAAATTTGACATTTGATTTGTTTCCAAAATTGTTAATTATAAACATTTGCTTAATTTATGCCAAATTCTCACCCTGACTGAGAATATAGGAAAAACTAACCAAAAACGCTCCGTGCTATAGCAATCGTTGTTTGGATAGTTTACTGTTTGGATAGTTTTTCGGATTATATAGTTTTCTGTTTGTATAGTTTTCCTGTTTGGATAGTTTTCTGTTTGGATAGTTTTTCGGTTTATATAGTTTTCTGTTTGGATAGTTTTCTGTTTGAATAGTTTTCTGTTTGGATAGTTTTCTGTTTTAATAGTTTTCTGTTTGAATAGTTTTCTGTTTGGATAGTTTTCTGTTTGGATAGTTTTTCTGTTTAGATAGGTTTTCTGTTTGGGTAGTTTTCTGTTTGGATAGTTTTCTGTTTAGGTGATGGGTCGGGAACCCAAAACACAAATTGCAGGTAATTAGTTTCTTTACTGAGAAGGATTGTAGACGAAATTATTTTAAGAAAACTACTATTTATAGATTGGTGAATCAGATTCACAACCGTCATTTATAAGAGTTGTCTGATGAAGATAGAATTTTATTTGAAAATTTATTTTTTTAATTGTGTTTTTTTTGTAAAAATTGATACAGAAACAATTGAGTAATTGTCAGAAGAAATTTAACAGTTTGTATGCTAATAAACGACGATATCTTCCACATTTTTTAGATTTTTAATATAAACGACGTAGGCTTAAAAGTTATAAAAAAGGATTGATTGTTCAGGAATGGTGGCAATTGTTGATATGGCAGGGTTCGGTTGGTATCATGTCATGCAGATGACAGTGGACTACGTTAAGGTGTTTATATCTGTCTGTCTTGTCTGTCTTGTCTGTCTTGTCTGTCTTGTCTGTCTTGTCTGTCTTGTCTGTCTTGTCTGTCTTGTCTGTCTTTTGTCCGTCTTGTCTGTCTTGTCTGTCTTGTCTGTCTTGTTGGTGTTTTTTGTCTTTTTATTTAGTTAGTTTTATTAAAGTTATTTTCTATCTAGGACATGGTTGCAATGGTACAGAATTCTTTCCCAATTCGATTCAGAGAAATACATATAGGTAAGTTATAACTTATTTAGTATCACTTTGTGTTGATTCAGAGAAATACATATAGGCAAGGAGAATTGAATACAAGGAGGGACAATAGGGTTTCCGTACACTTTGCTGTGACGTTTTTGGACTGCTGAAGAACTAGTTTTTGCGTAACAACAATAATAAAGGCAGCCGATCTAATGTAAACAAACCTGAGTTATTATATACGGTGAATCTTCATCTAACGTCAGAGATGTGCGAGATGTCTATTTATCATTTGTGTTATTGTTTACAATCTTTATTATTGTTGTTACGCAAAAACTAGTTCTTCAGCAATCACAGCATAGTGTACGGAAACCATATCGCCCCCTCCTTGAAATCAATTCTCCTTGCATATAGGTAAGTTATAACTTATTTAGTATCACTTTGTGTTGCATCGCCACACTCTTTTAACTTACTAAACATTTAACATTTAAAAAAAAATATAATGTCTCGAGATTTGGTTTTAATATTGTACTTCAATTGGACTTAAAAGTCGACTTTGAACTTTAAATTTATTTGTGACATTCAGTCGTCAATCTATTTTTTTGATTGATTTTCATACAATAGTACTTTAGTCACAGAATCTTGGAAGCTTCTAGATCTTGATTCTTTATTCTTTATGTTCTTTTTTCAGTGAATGAGTCATATCTGTTCGATGTTGTGTTTGCGCTTGTTAAACCCTTCCTAACAGATAAAATTAGGAATAGAATTAGGTAAAAGTAAAACACTTCCTAACAGTTAAAATTAGGAATAGAATTAGGTAAAAGTTAAACACTTCTCAACAGATAAAATTAGGAATAGAATTAGGTAAAAGTAAAACACTTCCCAACAGATAAAATTAGGAATAGAATTAGGTAAAAGTAAAACACTTCCTAACAGATAAAATTAGGAATAGAATTAGGTAAAAGTAAAAGACTTCCCAACAGATAAAATTAGGAATAGAATTAGGTAAAAGTAAAACACTTCCCAACAGATAAAATTAGGAATAGAATTAGGTAAAAGTAAAACCCTTCCTAACAGATAAAATTAGGAATAGAATTAGGTAAAAGTAAAACACTTCCTAACAGATAAAATTAGGAATAGAATTAGGTAAAAGTAAAACCCTTCCTAACAGATAAAATTAGGAATAGAATAAGGTAAAAGTGAAACCCTTCCTAACAGATAAAATTAGGAACAGAATTAGGTAAAAGTAAAACACTTCCGAACAGATAAAATTAGGAACAGAATTAGGTAAAAGTAAAATCCTTCCTAACAGATAAAATTAGGGATAGGATAGGTGATTTTACAATTAAGTATAAAAAAGTAAGACATTTTTGGTCCAAATTTTCTTGACTTGTAGTATAAGAAAAAGAACAAACTTGAAAAATAACCCCCCCCCNAGTTTCAAAGAGTTTCAAAGAGTTTCAAAGAGTTTCAAAGAGTTTCAAAGAGTTTCAAAGAGTTTCAAAGAGTTTCAAAGAGTTTCAAAGAGTTTCAAAGAGTTTCAAAGAGTTTCAAAGAGTTTCAAAGAGTTTCAAAGAGTTTCAAAGAGTTTCAAAGAGTTTCAAAGAGTTTCAAAGAGTTTCAAAGAGTTTCAAAGAGTTTCAAAGAGTTTCAAAGAGTTTCAAAGAGTTTCAAAGAGTTTCAAAGAGTTTCAAAGAGTTTCAAAGAGTTTCAAAGAGTTTCAAAGAGTTTCAAAGAGATTAAAGAGTTTCAAAGAGTTTCAGAGAGTTTCAGACTGTTTCATAGAGTTTTCATAAATTTATAAATGCTGAAAATTTTAGAAGAAATTCATAAAATAAAAATTTTTCAAATAAGATATTATTTAGGTTCCATGGCGGAGATTTAGAATCACTTTACAGGTAAACTATATAAAAAAACATCCAGAATTTCATTTTTTAGCTATAATAAATAAGATTTTTTCTTTTAAACTTAAAGGAAATATTTTTTATATTATTTACCTCATTTTATGGACGTTGGACAACTCTAAAAGTCTGATCTGATTTGATTTGACCAGCAAGAGATAAAAATATACCGTTGACAATGAACACAATAAACCCCTGTATTTACATTGTACAATAGCACTGAATTCCCCGGCCACATAGAATACTAATACACAATAATAATATACATTATCTGTACAGTGTACAGTGTACACTGTGTAGTTGTACTTTCTAGGCACCGCAGAGTACATAAAATAAACTTGAAACTTTTTAGACATGTATTCTACCGGCGGTGTTCAGAGTATTCATGAACAGGTTCAGGCAGTTTTGTTGAAACCTTATTTTTAAGAAATATAATTTCATGTGGTTTTTTCACATTCTATTTTTGTTTTCTAATTTCTTGAATTAAAATCTCCACAAATGTTTACTCTCTTAAATTTCCGGCTTCGGAGCATTCTACAGGCTGAGTGCAGTGGATTGTTATATACAATTTATAGCGTACACAATAGACCCTTGTCTATACATTTAATATCTGTACTGTATATCTAGGCAATGTACCACGAAGTATTCTACCGGCTGAGTAAAGAGGATTCTTATGTATAATTTATAGTGTACGCAATATGCACTGTATGTACAATAGTACAGTATATATCTAGACATGTACCACGAAGTATTCTACCGACTAATTAAAGATGATTGTTATGTATAATTTATTGTGTACACAATATGCCCCTGTATGTACAATAGTACTGTATATCTAGGTATGTACCACGAAGTATTCTACCAGCTAAGTAAAGAGGATTGTTACGTATAATTTATAGTGTACGCAATATGCCCCTATATGTACAATAGTACTGTATATCTAGACATGTACCACGAAGTATTCTACCGGCTGAGTAAAGATGATTGTTATGTATAATTTATAGTTTTTCGCAATATGCCCCTGTATGTACAATTGTACTGTATATCTAGGTATGTACCACGAAGTATTCTACCGGCTGAGTACGGGGGAGAACAACCGGCATTTAATAATTCAAGCCTTCAACTAGCATTAGGTAGGACATGAGTGGCTCTGTTACATTTGCCATAATACTTTTACCATAATGGTTAAACTTGCCATAATTATAATTGATTGTAGTTATAATTAACATCCATACATTTTTTTATTGAACAACTACAATTATACTCATTTTACTCATTTTACTCATTTTACTCATTTTACTCAGTATACTCAGTTTACTCAATACTTCTTTTAATTTTTGCAATTACTTCCATAAAGGAGCTGTCGTTGTAATTTCCAGTGACCCTCCATTAAGTGGTATGCTCGATTCACAACGTCATTCTTTAAGCCTGTATCTGATGTGGAAGATATAGTCGTTTTTAGCTTGAACATTTTTAAATTCTGACAATTTCATCCATTGTTTCTGCAGCATATATCCGCATGACATTTTTATTGTTGTGAATCGTACAATGACATGTCACTTTTAATAATGGAAAGCTAGTTGGAATTACGTCCACTCCACAGTCCCTTTAATGTTTAATCATAAAATACAAGTTGTATTTGCTCTTGTATTCAGCTAAGATGGAAGACTACTTCGTGGCTCTACAGGGATACGGGTACAGGGATAATCAGTTACCACAACAGGTCAATTCATAATTATTCTAAGCCATTATTTTTCTCTCTTTTTTTGAAGTTTAATTTCTAAAATGAAAACTCTCTGTTAAGGTTTATGAACGAGACTCTCATCCTTATCCAAGTTTCTGCCTCTCTGGAACTCTTCCGGATGAATAGATAGGAACCCTACCTCCTGGAACCCAACTGTCTGGAACCCAACTGTATTGAATTATACTGTATGGCACCCTACTGACTAGAACTCAAATGAACGGAACCCCCCCTCTGTCAGGAACTCTACTGTCTGGAACCCTACAGACTGGAATCCAAATATCAGGAACCCTACCACCTGGAACCTTACTGTCTGGAACCTTATTGACTGGAACCCTACTGTAAGGAACCACCAGGAACCCTAGTAACTGGAACCAACTGTCTGGAACCCTTCATTGGATCAATAGATCAAAGTTGAAATCTCTAAAAATTCCACTGTTCCTTAGAACTATTTTCTTTTTGACAATTGTGACAGGAAATCTACTTTTTAGAACCGGTCCAAGAACAACTAAATTTTTAGAACCGGTCCAAGAACAACTAAATTTTTAGAACCGGTCCAAGAACAACTAAATTTTTAGAACCGGTCCAAGAATAACTAAATTTTTTAGTACAGTTAAATCTTCAGAATTTCAAAACTTTAAATTCAACATTTAAAAAAATAAAGCAATATTCAGTGAAAATCTCTAATTTTGTTAAGAATTTAATTTTATGTAGATCTGTAAAACCGTGTAACTAAAAATATACTTAAAATGTACTAAAAATGTACTTAAAGTGTACTAAAAATTACTTAAAATGAACGGTAGTCTGCATGTGTACAGACAGAACTCCTACTGTGCGCTTACACTATTTGGAGCATCAATGTTTGGTGTAATATTTAAGGCAGCTGAAATAGCGAATTCCTTGAGAAAAGAGTTGAACTAAAAGATTTTAAAAAAGAGGTTTGTTTATGTAGTGATATGTATTAGTTTAAATGTTATTCACATTTAGAAAGGAACAATTTTTGTCATACAAATATTCAGATATATTATTCAAATGTACTTTATTTGATTGTAATTGAAAATGTGATAAATATCATATTTAAGTGAAAAACGGAATTTGCTCAATAATTACAAAAACTTATAACAATTAAAACATTTTAATTTTGAACTAGCATTCCTGAGAAAATCTGCCAAAATGCATTTTTAGAAAATCTTCGATTTTTTTTTACTTTTTTTAATTTCTCATCGTTGATTTAGTTTTTTGTTGACACAAACCATCCCATTATGCTCTAAGTAAATTTTAGTTTCCTATCTATTCCGTAAAAGTTCCGTAAGATATTTCCGTTCTGGAATTGGTCCGGAACAGCTTAAAAATTTACACGTTGTAAACAAATTTAAAGAAATATTACTGAAATATAGTTGATAAATATCTTTATATAATATACATATATATATTCGTAACAACCACAATATACTTAATAACCAGTGTTACAGATATAAACTGAATATTTTCAGATTGTGTTTAAGCAATTCAAAAATGGCTGGCATCGGAGAACAACCAAAAAAGAGAATCAAACTTGGGCACTCGTCAAAACCCGAGGAATTAAAAATTTTCAGATTTTCTAAAAAATCCTGTTTAAACTGTAATTCACACTTGATCAGACAAAGCTTGTAAGGGTATCGTTTAAAATCGGACATGCCACTTTTTTAAATTGAGTGTAGAGATCCTACATTTAGTCCTATAAATCTGAATATATATTTTAATATAAAGGATAAGAATGTAAACTACATGTGCCCAGTGTGTTTTGAGATTCTAAACGAGCCCTACATGACAAAGGAACCAATCATCGAAAAATTAATTATTTGATTGATTGATTTTTATTTTGATGTAAAGATTATTTTTCGATAAGCTTTCAGAATTTACCAACCTGTAAATTGGTTTATTGATTTTTCTTTTACTTAGATTGATTTATTGATCAATGGTATAGTAGACTATTGATATATGTAAGATGTATTGATTACCAATAATATTAATAATGATGATTTTGTGATCTCATATATATACTTTTCAACTTGTTTTATTGATTGGTTAATTAATTTGTCAGTAAACATACAGACATTACCAATTAAATGCTTTTTTCGTCGAATTTCATTTGACGGGTTCATTGATTTTACATTTACTGGTCTGATTGCGCAATTGATTAAACATTTGTTTTGAAAACAAAAACCTTTTACCAACCTATTGATTGATTGATGGTCCCCTTTTTTTAAATGACGGGCTCATTAATGGACTCATCGATATAATAAAGTTTTTTTATTCATTAACTGTCAAAGTTAATCTATCGTTTAAAGGGACAGACCGGCTATGAAAGGTAGTTAAACTAAGAATGCAGTGTTGTGGACAAATTCTTTAAGATTCATTTGAGACATATAAAGAATTTGTCCACAACACTGCATACTCAGTTTAAATACCTTACATAGCCGGTCTGTCTCTTTGTTAATGAGGCTTTATTAACTTGATTAACTTATTGATTTATCGTTTTATTTATTGATTGATTGATTAGTGCGGACATACGTTTTGTCACAGCTGTTTGGAGAAGACAATTGAACAATCTCCTAGGTAAATAAATTGTACTCGTAAATCCTTAACTTCTACTCTCTATCCATTTATCCTTCTAATATATTAAAGCTCTCCAAGTTTTTATCTTTTAATAATCTATCTATCAATCTAACTATCTGTATTCTGTATCTCTATTAATTCATCGTTATAACTGTATAATGTAAATCCTATCTATCTATATATCTATTTTTCTACCATCTATCTATCTATTAATCCATCTATCTATCTATCTATCTATCTATATATATATCTATGTATCCTTCCTTCTATCTATCTATCTATCTATCTATCTATCTATCTATCTATCTATCTATCTATCTATGTCTAGGTGTCCCAAGTGTAGTTTCAGTATAGAGTCCTTGACAGATATATTTCCAAACTTCCTGCTTAACGAACTGGTTTCTGGATATAAACAGAGCCTAGCTGCTAAACTTAAGGTACTGCAATATTGTTTACAAATAAAATAACTGGTTTCTGGATATAATTAGAGCCTAGCTGCTAAACTTAAGGTACTGCAATATTGTTTACAAACAAAATAATATGATAATGATGATAATGATGATAATGATGATAATGATGATAATGATGATAATGATGATAATGATGATAATGATGATAATGATGATAATGATGATAACAATGATCCTAGACTGGCCCCTCATCTCTGAGTCTAAATGTTGGCGGAATCAGAGACTTTCTTGCCAAGTAAGTTTTTTTTCAACTAAAAATGTTTTTTTGTTTAAATTTTAAAACTGCATTTTGGGGAGGGTGGAGAGTAAACGTTGCTAATGCAAGATACAAAATTTAGAAATTCTGATTCAATGAGCTTGCCAGAGATAGATTTCGTGATATCAGTTCTACGGACTAAGAAGGATCAGTTAGAAGCTCATTCATTCCTAGCTCAGCAGCAGCTTCTCAGGTAGATTATTCTTTTTCCTAGCTCAGCAGCAGCTCCTCAGGTAGATCATTAATTGTCCTAGCTTAGCAGCAGCTCCTTAGGTAGATTATTCATTCTTTTCTAGCTCAGCAGTAGCTTCTCAGGTAGATTATTCATTCCTAGCTCAGCAACAGCTCCTCAGGTAGATTATTCATTCATTTCTAGCTCAGAAGCAGCTTCTCAGGTAGATTATTAATTTTTCTAGCTCAGCAGCAGCTTCTCAGGGAGAGATTGATTTGAATGTAGAAGATTTTTAAAATTACTTCCAGTGAACGTCCAATGAAAGTAAAAAAGCTAAAAAAAATAAGTAATCTAAATATTGAAATATCTAAAAGTAATGGATATATTTACATAGAAATGTCTTCATTTTCTTAAATATGTCTTGTCATAATAGAAAAAAATTATAAAAATGATAATCCTTCTTTTCATTCTCATCTATAATAGAAGCACATACAAAACCTAACAGAAAACATATCAAATCAAAATATATCCAACTACTAAACATAACCAAACATATCTAACTATTCAACATATCAAAACAGACATTTTAAAAACAAAACATATCAAAATATAAAGCATATCATAGTACAAAAATTGTTAGTGGACAAAACATATCTAAAATAAAATATATCAAATCAAAACAGATCAAAAGCAAACATATTGTATTGTAATTAATTTTCACTTAAAAGTAAAATTAAACATTTCATTAGTTTCATATGTCTCGTTGTGAATATGTTTTGAATATTGATGTTTTGTTGTAAGATATGCTGTGTGACGGTATGTTTTGGTTTATTAGGTTTTGTTCTGATGTTTTTCATTGAGATATGTGTTTTGAAGGTATTTTTTCTATAAAAGCTATCTATCTATCTAATTATCTATCTATCTATCTATCTATCTATCTAATTATCTAATTATCTATCTATGTATCTATCTATCTATCTATCTATCTATCTACCTATCTAATTATCTATCTATGTATCTATCTATCTATCTATCTATCTAATTATCTAATTATCTATCTATGTATCTATTTATCTATCTATCTATCTATCTATCTATCTACCTATCTAATTATCTATCTATGTATCTATCTATCTATCTATCTATCTATCTATCTATCTATCTATCTATCTATCTAGAGAGTTCCTACAGCATATGAAAAGGCAGAAGGATGAAGAACTGTTTAAAATTCAGAAGGTTAGTTCCTCTACCAAGGAGAAGAACCGAGTACAGTAATCTCAAGTGACCCTCCATTAAAAAAAATGGCATGACTAAAACACAATACTCTTTTTAACCTGGCTTTCAGCTAAGATATCGTCGTTTTGTTATCTAGAAAAATATTTAATTCCGACGATTTACGTCTTTTTTTGCTGCCGCATAAATGCGCAAGTTGTTTTTAGAATTATTAATTTCACGATTGTGAATCTGGTCTGCCACTCTATAAATGAACAGGCAAGTTAGAATAACGTCTACACTCTACAGTCATTTTAATCACTTTTATCATGTATTCATATTTACCATAATGATGATCCTTCATGAATGAATGGGTGCCAAAAATGGTTGCATGGCTCAAACTTGGTCGTGTTGCTGGGATTTCGTCACCAAATATTGGAATTTAACCTTTAGCTATAGATACATTGCAAAGGTCAGAATTGAGTTCATATCCGGGCTGAAAAACCATTCCTCATTTAGGAATTGAAACTCTAGGCTGAGAAATGGAGCCTAAAGCTTCCCCAACATTCATGATTTGATTTGATTTGATGCTCCGGATACAAAAACCGAAATTAAGGATTTAGGACTTAGATGGTAACCGCAAATTCAACCCATGCAACTTAAATTTTCAAACCAAGATAAAATCATTCCCGGGATTCTACTGAGTTTCAAATCTTAGGCAGTTTCATGGGGTTTCTGAGTTACAGGGTGGCCAAAATGTACGGATTGTACGGATTGATTTTTTTTTAACCCTAAAATTGTACGGATTGTACTGGAAAATACACCGTTTTTTTTAAATTTTCACTCATTTCAGCAAATTTTTCATGAAAATAAAAAAAAATTCTCGTCAAAATGAAGTTAGTTTAACTTATTTTCTGCATTCTAAATAATATTAGATTGATTAATGTTTCAATTGACAATCAAAATTCATTCATAATTTTCGAGATATGTCCAAGAAGTGTTTATTTGAGAATATGTTCCATAAGTACTTATTTGATTGCTTATTCAAGAAGATGTTCCAGTATCCTGTACCCAGTATCCTGTACCCAGTATCCTGTACCCAGTATCATGTACCCAGTATCCTGTACCCAGTATCCTGTATCCTGTATCCTGTATCCTGTATCATGTACCCTGTATCATGTATCCAGTATCCAGTATCATGCACCTAGTATCATGTACCCAGTATTTAGTTTGTATATATGTATGAAGCCAATTTTTACAGATTGATTCTTGCTGAAGAAGTTTAAACCCTCTTACATGAACTGAACACAAAAGACAATGAATGAAAAATTGAATTTTAATGTTTTTTTTTCAAAAATGGGATTTTTTTCGAAAATTGTGCTGATTGTACAGATTTTTTAAAAAAATGTACGGATCTTTAAAAAAATGTACGGATTGGTTTAAAAAAATGTACGGATTGTACGGATTTTTAAAAAAAAATTGTACGGATTGTTTTTCGAAAATTGTACGGATTGTACGGATTTCTTCTGAAAATGTACGGATTTTTGTACGGATGGGTTCAAAAAAGTTTTGGCCACCCTGGAGTTATGATCGGACATACAGATAAACAAATAGACGAACAGATATTTCAAATTTATATATATAGATAGGATAATTATGATTGTGTTCTAGGAGTCTGCAGTGATCCAGGAGGATCTGGATAGAGTAGCACACCTACTTAGGGAGCTAGAGTCATCCGCTACTACAGGAGGAGTACTTCATGATCCAGAAGGTAGAGATAGATAGGACAGGACAGAATTGTCTAGTATAAGACAGAATATGACAGGTTAAAGAGTAGATAAGACAGGATAGGACAAGATAGGACAGGATATGACAGGATAGGATAGGACAGAACAGGACAGGACAGAACAGGACAGGACAGTACAGTACAGTACAGTACAGTACAGTACAGTACAGTACAGTACANAGGACAGGACAGGACAGGACAGGGACAGGGACAGGGACAGGGACAGGGACAGGGACAGGGACAGGACAAGACAGGACAGATATTTGATATTCAAATTGAGCATTGAGCAACGTTTTTAATCTACATCTCAAAGTTAAGGTAATTAATAAAAACTAAAGGAAAAGAACAGTAGCACTTGCTACAACCTATAATTTTTCAATCCTTATAACTTTAAGTTTCAATTTTTTTTTCAATTTTTAAAGCAAAATTCACAGTTGGAAATACCAAGATACAAGTTCCAAAGAATAAGGACTAAAAATCCTGTGTTTAAGGTAATTGATGAGTTCTGTTCCCCAGATTTGATTTTAAACTGTTTATTAGGTTTTAAAACCAAGACGGATTTTTTTAAATTGATAAAGATGATGTTTTAGGAGATAATTCTAATTCGGATGCCAGTGTAGTTCCTTCTCTTGAGTTCTCTCAGATCGCTGGGTTCAACATACTAGCAGGTAGAGATCATGCAGATAGAAGGGTACGGATTCATTTAGGAAAATAAAGACGACAATTTACGGGAAAATTTCTTTATATTTCAGAACATGGTTTCTTAAACCAGAAGGATAGTTTCTTGTTTCTGATTTTTATATGTTACTAACTGGAGGGCCCGGAATTGCCCGTGGAAAAAAAAATTAAATTTTGAAGAAAAAAATTTCTAAATTTTTTGAGCATATACATGAGTGTCCACAAAAAAATCAGCCCAATCGGTCCAGACGTTTGGCCGGCTTTACGCAACATATATACATACGAATGTCTTATTTTATTATATAGATTTGGAAACCTGAGGCTTTGGTCTTTCATCTCCCCCCTTAACTAAAACCTCTAGCTTAAATTATGTTGCTAAAATTCTTCTGCCTCAAGTTTTCTTTAATTTCCAAGCAATTTTAAAGAAATATATGTAAACGCACATAATCTTTATCCTAATGTTTAAATGCTTCTATCCAAAACGCACATAATCTATATATAAAATATTACTATAAATTTGGATTGTAGGTGTGTTTAAATGCTTCTATCCAAAAAAAGTTCAAACGGCTGAACCGATTTGGCCCAACAAAAATTTTGTAATTCACATGACCCCTAGGAAGGATTATGGACGGTCAAAATTGAACAATTTTGCCTGGGAAAAAATAATATCTATTTATTTGATTTTTGAATATATCTCAATTTAAGCTTAATGATATTAATAAATCATTTAAAAAAAGGGTAAATACCTTATATGAAAAATGCATCTATGTTACAGATAAGAGTGCTCTTGTGGGTGTACCTAATGACCTTCCTGCCCGTAGACTTAGGATGCATCATCATTTTGAGGAAACAAACTTATTTTGAATTCATGCTAACTTTTTTAAGATTTAAAAAAAATTTTATCGGCAGTAAACATTTAGTTAAAAATATGAGATTGGTTGGAAAAATTAAATTTAAAAAGTGTTATTTATATATATACATATATATTTTTTTTTGGAAACTTATTTTAAACTAGTTATTTATATATATACATATATATTTTTTTTTGGAAACTTATTTTAAACTAGTTAATATCTTTTTAGTCAAAGTCAAGCCATTGATGCTTTTAAATCTAAATTTTGAAACCCAATAAAATTAGATAAAAAATCAAGGGAAAATGTTCCCGTATTTTGGGAAAACAACAAAAAGTAGAAATTGGAACTTTTGTATGGATATTGTTAATCTTGAATGACTGATCTCGATATGCAATTTGAGCATTTTTAAATTTGAGGATCAATGCTTAATCTTTCAATTAAGGTTATCCCGGGTACGACGGGATAATTAAGGTTATCCCGGGTATGACGGGATAATTAAGGGGAATTGAATTAATCTGCATAAGATTGCGCTCGACACATGGTCTCAAGATTCACAGCACAAAAGTTTTAAAAAACTGCTTAGCAATTAAAAATTAAGTTTTCCTAGGTTTTCTTTTATAAGAAACATTGCATCAAGATAAGAATATTATCGATTATTAACCCTTTTTTTAAAATTCATAAATACATTATATAAATAAATTTTTGTTGAAAATGAGTTTTTGTGAATCCAGGATCTAGTCACGTGCTATAAGAACTCCAGGTAAATATTTTGTCCTAACAATCTGGTATTTACAGGGTTTGAGGGGGGGGGGCTTGAGTGTCATGCACCCCCCCCCCCTTTGAATATATATTCTGCCTTTTTATAAATTTAACTCAAGTACTAACTAATAATACGGGTTGTTAAGATGAAACACTCTGACCAAGAATTCATATTAAACTAAACTCTGACCAAGCCAGTGAAAGTTCAAGCAATACCTCAGCTTAAATAAAACCTTTGATAACATAGAGAAGTTGCGAAATCTAGCTGTTGACTACAAATGGGGCAATTTTAAAACCTCTTTTCATTTGAGATTTCAATACGCAGATTTTGTAGAATATTTATTATACAAAATATGAGTTTAGGGTTTTTTAAATCGCCATGTTCTTCGTCAATTATAAATTCCACAACAGTTTTAACCAATGAATTTGTTCTACAGGATGGATGAACTGAGCATTCCGGGTGCAACGTTAGAGCCTCAACCTGTGAGTTCAAACAGTACACAGTAGAGTTCATACAGTACACCAATATTTCATAAGGACACAGTATAGCTCATAACACTAATTAAGTACACAGTAGATTTCATAAGTACATAGTATAGTTTACAAAGTACACAATAGATGTCATAAGTAAAGTACCCAGCAGAGCTCATAAGTACACAGGAGAGTTTATAAGTACCCAGTATACTTCATACAGTACACAGTAGAGTTTATACATCATTCAACAGAGTTTATACAGTACATGGCACCACACATATATTCATATAGAATATATTTACATACTTGAGTTTATACAGCACATGTTGAAACAGTAGAGTTTAATCAGTACATAGTGGACTTTATACAGTACATAGGCATACAGTCTAGTAGAGGTTACTCATACAATTTACCGTACTGTGAATTATGCATCATATGAATATTCGCTTCATAAAGTTCAAAGAATGGCAAGCCCATGGTTATAATGCAAGGAAAGTTAATTGCAGTTGCGTATACTCTGCGTATATATTGAAACCAGTTCTCTCTGGGCGGAATTTGTAAACAAGAATAGATGCATCAGTGTTCGTTTAGTATCCGTGGTGGATGAAGCATTTAAATTTGAAAATTTTGATAATTCACATAATAGAGTAAAGCATTCATTGTACTTGTTCAGAATTCATGGTACAAGGTACACAGTTAAGAATTTTTAGTATTTACTTTTAATACTTGTAGAATAATTTGTAGAAGACCTCAGGGTCCATAAGGTAAAACTCTTGATGTTTCTAGACGGAGCAGTGGTCAGTTAAGAATCATCCTCCGTTACACTGTTTCCTGGATCAGATTTAGAAAGTTATGTTCTTGAGTCCTGTCTTAAATATTTCGAAGTGTCTTCTTTATTAATATCTTGACATTTCTTCTTGAGTTATTTAATTCCGTCGGCAGTGCATTCCAAACCGGTTTAACTCTATTTGTAAAGAAGTTTTTCCGTTGATCTGTATTTGATCGATTTGATAAAAGATTGCCCTCATAGGCAGTATTCCTTGTTATGTGCAGTACAGAATTCACAGTATTTTAGCTTCTTTTAGCTTACTATGTACACAGTACACTCACAATATTTGATTGCAGGAACATCAAAAAATGTTTTATGTTTATTTTTTCTAGGATACAAGTGATAAATGGAACGGTTTAGATACTTTCTCCGATTGTCTTCATCATTTAACCAGGTAGAGTTCCATTGTACAGTACTGTAGTGTACATGCTAACCTTATGTTCAGAGACAGTACATATATGTACAGTACGGCACTACATAATAACTTTTGATACTGCACATTTATGTACAGGGTGTCCCAAAAAACATGTGAATTAAGTGACGACTTTTCTATCGTCTTCGAACCATGCGTCATTCTTCCATTAACAATTATTGCAGTATTCCAGTTTAAACATCTAATATCTAAAATACCTGGTCTAGAGATTTAAAAATGTGGTCTACCATTTTTGTATCTTCAAAATTGACTGAGATTTTACAAAATTTGTAAAAATTTAAATTCATTTAATGAATCAAAATTGTCTTAATATCTAATATCTTCGTTAATTTTTAAGACACGAGAAAGGTATACAACTTAATGAAAAGCTCGTCAGACGTACAGCCTCGTTTTGTATACTTTCTTTGCCATGCATTAAATATCATAAATCAAAGACGACTTTCAATTCGTCTCTCAATTTCCATGTTTTTGGGACACTGTACACTACTAGTTTGTACAAAATGACCTTTTTAATAAAGTACATATATGTACAGTATAGTAGTGTACATGATAATTTTATTTTTAAGTACTGCACATTTATTATTATCATTATTATTACATTTATGTGGTATAGCAGTGTACATTATAACCTTGTGTTTACATACAGTATACCGATACTTTTAGTACAGCCGTGTAATGATAACCTTATGTTTAGATATAGTTCATGCTTATTGTACAGTGTACACCAGTGAATACGATGCACTTAATTTTAATTACAGTTGATATATGTACAGTAAAGCAGAGTTTATAATTACCTTATGTTTAGATTAAGTTTATTTATGTACACTACAGCAGTGTACATAATTGCCTTATGTTTAGATACAGTATTATATGTATAGTACTGCAGTGGACATGGTAACCTTATATTTAGATTCAGTTCATATATGTACAGTATCTTATGGTTAGATACAGTACATATATTTACATTATTTTACAGTACAGCAGTGTCCATAATTACCTTATGTTCAGATATAGTAGATATATGTACATTACAGCAGTGTACATAATTGCCTTATGTTTAGATATAGTTCATGCATGTACAATACAGCAGTGTACATAAGTAACTTATGTTTAGATACAGTATATATGTATAGTACTGCAGTGGACATGGTAACCTTATATTTAGATACAGTTTTTAATATGTACACTACATCAGTGTACACAAGTACCTTATATTTAGAATAAGATACAGTACATATATGTACATTACAGCAGCATCCATAATTACCTTATGTTTAGATACAGTACATATATGTACAGTACTGCAGTGTACATAATTGCCTTATGTTTAGATATAGTTCATTCATGTACAGTACAGCAGTATACATAATTATATTATGTATAGATACAGCGGAATGAGACCATTGAGTACGTTGAACTACACTACAGATATTTACAGCAATTCTTCAATAGGAATATAATCGCAAAAATTAATATTACCAAAAAATCTAATTTCATAAAAACAATTATCTTCTAGCTAATATTTTATCCAACTGACTTAGTTCTTATAGTCTTGTAGCCCTGTCAACTTTTCTATTTTATATCCTTACTAGCTAGGGAACCCCCTTTGCCTCTAAACTAAACTTTTCTATAAAAGCTAGCCCACTAGACTAAGAAATTTTAAACCAAGCTATGAACAATCCCGTTGTGCGACCGAGTTCCCCAATCAAAGTTTTAGGCTAATTGATCAAGAAGTTTCTCAGCTATATTCGGATTACTACTTCAAAGATACATATAGAGAATAACATTTTCATCCCTACTCCCCTAAGATGTTTACCTTCTTTACTGTCCCGGTTCTGACTTTGCTAAATTTGAGAATTCTTAATATACCAGACCGGCCATTTTTACAGTCCACATAGCACATGAATTTCATCTAGAATGGTATCATTCATTTGGCGTAAAGTCCCGTGTGCATGGTCGGTTATGTACTGTACCGCTTGCCCTGACTAGTTGAAATTCGACCCGGTACATGAAATGTACTGGAATGTACCGTGAAAGGGTTAGGCAACGTTTTGTTAACGAAAGGCAAGTTTTTAAAAATTAACAGAAGATATGAAATAATCATAAAAATGTCGTTGTTTTAGTTTCGAAAAGGGTTCAAATTCTGACAACTTCTATATAGTGTTAGAAGTGTAAAATGCACAAATCAGTGGTTACTTGAAATTAAGTTTCAATACGTCTCATCCCGAGGGATGATGGTTAACCATTTTATTTATTATTTATTTATAAAACAGCCATACCTTCTGTATTCTCATTGATTATATCCTCGTGAAGTGACAAGTATTTATTAAACAAACATACCTTCTGTATTCTCATCGATTATATCCTCGTGAAGTGTCAAGTATTTATTAAACAAACATACCTTCTGTATTCTCATTGATTATATCCTCGTGAAGTGTCAAGTATTGAGTTTGACAAGGATCAAGAGTTCTTCGCTATTGCCGGGGTCACGAAACGGATCAAGATCTATGATTATAATGTTGTTCTTAAGGTATTGATTTATTTTAAAATGTGCTCTAAAATCATCTTTTGGTCTTTTTCTATCGTTTAATTAGTACTTGTGTGAGAAATTTTTTTTTAAAGCAAAATAAATGCTTTTTGACCTTGATTTCATTCTCTTGGCTTTAAAAATCATTCTTGAGAAATAAACAGGGTGTCCCAAAAAATGCTCATTTATACACTAGACGGTGTAGTAATCACTACTCACCATTTTCCGATCGATTGATACTAATTAAATGTATGTAAATAATATTGATTTATTGATAACTGGCGGTCTTGCATAATCTCAATTAAGCCAAAATTTAAAATTTTCAACTGTCACAACTTTATTAATACTTCTACTAATTGATATCAATCGATCGGTAAAGGTTCAATAGATTTTAGATAATTCTTTTGGGACACTCTGTGAATGCAAAACAATTTATTTTATTTTTATTATATTACCTAAACACGAGCTGTAAGACAATATCTCTTTCTTGCATTAAGTAAATTCATCTTGAAATTGATATATGGATAATTGGACATCCCTAAAGCTTTGATTGATTGATTTATTGATTGATTGATTGATTGATTATGAAGGATATGGTTGAGATCCATTACCCTAGCTCGGAGATGGTTTGCTCCTCAAAGATATCCTGCATATCATGGAGTGCATTCCACAAAAACACTCTAGCCTCCAGGTAACAAAACATTTTGGTGAAAGCGTACATTTTTATAATTTTTTTGCGTTATGTAAAAAAAGAACACTTACATCATAAAGTGTTGGTCCTAACAATTCTTTTTATTTTCAGTTTGCCAAAAAAAATTATAAGGTATCAAGAAAATCCGCAAGTAACGTCAAAAATGCGCAAAAAGTATTCAAGATTTTCCATTTTGGTATTGTAATAAAACTCCCTATTAATAAACTTGAAATAATTTGCACTGCGTGATACAACCGTATAGCTAAAAAATTATAATTCATGAGGGGGGGGTTGGCTTCACCATATATAATCAGATTTATACGTAGAACTGTAGTCCAGAAAAGGATTAAATTCCTCTTCGATTCCAGTGTTAGTGATACCCTGCATAGATAACTTTAATTGAGTGATCAAGCATTGATCCTCAAATTTAAAAGTGCCCATATAGGATATCGAGATCAAGCGATCAAGAACAACAATATCCTTACAAAAGTTATGATCTCCGGGTCATTCCAAAACAATTTTTTGACAACTATGGAAGTGACCATCCTCGATTTGGCTGAAAGCACAAAGCTTAATGTTTTTTACAATTTTTTGGGGGGGACTTCCGGGGTCAGCACTAAAAGACAGGAAAATTTTGAAAGTTTTTTTTGATAACCCTTCAACTTATTTGTTTAATAAAAAAGTAAAATTTTTAACTAACCTAAAATAAATCAAAATACTTAAAACCAAATTTTTTTTTTCTTATTTTTTTTCTTATTTTATTTATGAATATTTTAAAGTGATTATGAGGGAACGGTTAGTGTTTGGGACACAGTCACAGGACAACGTACATCTGTATTCCAGGTTCATTCATTCTTTTATTCATCCTTTCATTCTTTTGTTAATTGATTTGTTCATTCATTCAGACTTCCATTCATCCTGTCATTTACTCACTTTGATTTATTGGTTATATCATTCATAGATGTTTGTTTTGTTCGTTTTTCATTTGTCATTTTTGTTATTCATTGATTAATGTATTTATTGATTCTTTCAGCTTTTAATGCATTATTTAGTGCATTGAAATATTTGTTGGTTATTTTCTTCTGATTCAAAGGAAGTAGTAAGAATTATAAATATAAGTCATGATTATGTTTCCTGAAGCATGTTATCAAGTTATTATGGTCGACCTTAAATGTCGTCTTATTTTATATAGAGGATTTTGTCAATATGTTGTTTACCCACTGTGTGTGTAATTAATAAATATGTTCAGGAGCACGAGAAGCGATGCTGGAGTGTTGACTTTAATCAAGTTGACACTAAACTCATTGCCAGCGGTTCAGACGATGCCAGGTCAGTAATTTAGCTTTTGTTATCTGACTATTTCAAGGATCGGATTCAACCTTTGTAAACTGACCAAGTAACTAATATCTGATTTTTAGATTCTGTATGAACACTTCAATTTTTTTTTCATATTGTTAGTGATAGTTAATTTTGTATTCGTAAAATTCACTAGTGCGGGCTAAAAATGAGAAAATGTACATAGATAATTTTACTATTAAAATTAAACAGTTTGTACGAAAATTCCACGGCGATGAATTTTAAATTTGTTATACTTCTTTTAACTTATTTTTGGGGGTGGAATATTTACTAAACTATAAAAAAGTGCAATTTTATTTAATATTTAGGGTTAAGCTGTGGACCGTGAATTCAGCACATTCTGTAGCAAGCCTAGAGGTCAGTTAAAAAAAAAATTATTTTAATTTGCATTAATATGGAATTAGTTTTAAGTTTTTGTTCGTTAAAGATATGCCTATAATTTATTTTTATTTTTTTAAGTTATTTGATCAAAGGATTGATCATCTGTCATATGATTGATCCTTTGTCATATGATTGATCATTGGTCATACGATTGATCCTTTATCATGTGATTCATGCTTTGACATGTGATTGATTCTTTGTCATGATTGATCCTTTGTCGTTTTATTGATTCTATGCAATATGATTGATTGATAAATTGATGCAATATGATTGAGTGATAAATTGATGCAGTATGATTGATTGATAAATTGATGCAATATGATTGATTGATAAATTGATGCAATATGATTGAGCGATAAATTGATTCAATATGATTGAGTGATAAATTAATGCAATATGATTGATTGATAAATTGATGCAATATGATTGAGTGATATATTGATTCAATATGATTGAGTAAATTACTGCAATATGATTGAGTGATAAATTGATGCAATATGATTGAGTGATAAATTGATGCAATATGATTGAGTGATAAATTAATGCAATATGATTGAGTGATAAATTAATGCAATATGATTGAGTGATAAATTATTGCAATATGATTGATTGATAAATTGATGCAATATGATTGAGTGATATATTGATTCAATATGATTGAGTGATAAACTACTGCAATATGATTGAGTGATATATTACTGCAATATGATTGAGTGATAGATTACTGCAATATGATTGATTGATAAATTACTGCAATATGATTGAGTGATAAATTACTGCAATATGATTGAGTGATAAATTACTGCAATATGATTGAGTGATAAATTACTGCGATATGATTGAGTGATAAATTGATGCAATATGATTGAGTGATAAATTACTGCAATATGATTGAGTAATAAATTAATGCAATATGATTGAGTGATAAATTAATGCAATATGATTGAATGATAAATTGATCGATTTATTGAAAACTAGGCGAAGGCGAATGTTTGCTGTGTAAAGTTTAACCCTGGTTCTCCATACAATCTGGCCTTTGGGTCAGCTGATCATTGTGTACACTACTACGATCTCAGGTAAACCTTCGGGTCATATGGTCATTGTGTAGACTACTACGATCTCAGGTAAACCTTCAGGTCAGCTGATCATTGTGTACACTACTGCGATCTCAGGTAAACCTACAGGTCAGCTGATCATTGAGTTCACTGCTACGATCTCAGGTAAATCTTTGGGTCATGTGATCATTGTGTACACTACTACAATCAAAGGTAAACCTTCGGGTCATAAGATCATTGTGCACACTACTACGATCTCAGATAAACCTTCAGGTCAGCTGATCATTGTGTACACTACTATGATCTCAGGTAAACCTTCGGGTCATGTAATCATTGTGTACACTGCTACAATCTCAGATTAATCTTTGAAAATCTAAATATATAATTAACGCGGCATGCAAACTTCATTTGGTATGAATTAATAATTATACTGGATATCATTGGGATGATATAGCATTTTCCTCCATCATTGTTCTTATAAATATGTTTCTGCTATTGTGCGTTATTTTTTCATCATTTTATGTGATATTAATTCAATGGCAATACAATCTTTTTAGTGTTGAGTAAAATTTAAAATAGACAAAATTTATTTTTGTTGAAATAAGATGAAAGGGTCAAGTGATGTCTATTTTTTTTTTAAATAAGATGAAAGGGTCAAGTGATGTCTATTTTTTTGGAAATAAGATGAAAGGGCCAAGTGATGTCTATTTGTGTTGAAATAAGATGAAAGGGTCAAGTGATGTCTATTTGTATTAGGTCGACGAAGAAAGCATTAACAGTATTGAAGGGACACAAGAAAGCTGTCAGTTACGTCAAGTTCCTCAACAACGAGGTGAATATTGCATCAACACGGGGAAAAGAAAAGAATTGAGAATTGATACAAAAATTGAGCCTTTTCTGTAAATCCCATAAGGTTAAAATAAAGATGTAACTGTCAATTGATTGATAAAATTGATTAATTGCTTGATTTTAAATGATTTGTTCAATTGATAGTTTGATTGATTGATAGTTGAGAAAGATTGATTAGTTTAAATAATTAGTTTTAAATTGAGTGATTTTTTAATTGATTTATTAATCGATTAGTGGTTGAATTTAATTGATTAGGATTTGAATTGATTAATTAAATGGTGGACTGAATTGATTATTGATTGATTGATTAAGGATCTTGTATCTGCGTCTACAGATTCACAGTTAAAACTCTGGAATGTTAACCAGCCCTACTATGTCAGATCTTTCACAGGTACTGTAAGCTCGGGAAGGGAGGGGTTGTGTTTATTGTTAACTACATGATTATATCTATATATATATATATATATATAGATCGTGATAGGTAATTTCATTAGATTAAAGTTCCTAGATACTGATAGGGAAATTATTAGATAAAAGTTCCTAGATCATGATAAGGAATTTATAAGATAAAAGTTCCTAGATACTGATAGGGTAAGTGGTGGTGGGGTTCGATCTAATTAACGAACTTATACGAACTTTTACATCTCTTTTTTAACTTCCTTGGCCCTTCAAATGTTCTGCCAACAATCAAGCTTGTAATTTCATTAGATTAAAGTTCCTAGATACTGATAGGGAAATTATTAGATAAAAGTTCCTAGATCATGATAGGTAATTTCATTAGATAAAAGTTCCTAGATCATGATAGGTAATTTCATTAGATAAAAGTTCCTAGATCATGATAAGGAATTTATAAGATAAAAGTTCCTAGATACTGATAGGGAAATTATTAGATAAAAATTCCTAGATCATGATAAGGAATTTATAAGATAAAAGTTCCTATATATATCATGAAATTAAAAACTTTGTTTATTGACTGATGAGGATCGAGAGATCTGAAACAATTTGTATCAATAAATATGAAAACTGAGAAACTGTTCTTATTAGTGCTTTATAGTTATATATATTTATATATATTTGACTTGCTCCGAGTTGAAACCTTAATTTGATTAATGTCATTTTCTTGACTCGAAAAATGTTAAGTTATAATATTTCTCCATTTCTTCTCATAAACAAGAAATACAGAAGTCGCTTTTTGCAGAAAAACCAAATATGAAAATAAACCGTTGAAAAAAAACTGAACACATTGATATCTGATTCAAACTTGATTAGACAACGCTTTTAATGGTACCGTTGTAAATCGGGCATTGTGCCATCCTTGCATGGAGGGTTACTTGAAATTACACATATAGTCCCTTTTACATAATCCTTGTAGTTTCACTACTTCTTGCTATTTATTAAATTTGGTTCCAGGTCACGTGAATGAGAAGAATTTTGTTGGTCTGGCGACGGATGGAGATTATATAACATGCGGGTCCGAGAATAATGGATTATACGTCTATTACAAGGTGAATGATAATGATAATGATAATGATAATGATAATGATAATGATAATGATAATGATAATGATAATGATAATGATAATGATAATGATAATGATAAAAATGATAATGATAGTAATGATAATGACTCTGACACTGGCACTGACACTGACACTGACACTGATACTGACACTGACACTGACACTGACACTGACACTGACACTGGCAAAAATAAATCAAACTTCATTCCGCTGAATAGAGACATTGTCATTAGTTTATGTTATGTCAAGGGTTGTTTGACTGATTGGTTCGTTGGCTAATTGATTGAATGATAATGATAATGATATATCAAACTTCATTCCGTTGAATAAGTGAAAAGCAACTGTTTCTTCACCTCTTCTCAAGATTTTTAAAATACTTTGGTTTAATTAAGGTTGTTTGACTGATTGGTTGATTTATTGATTGATTGATTGATTGATTGATTGATTGATTGATTGATTGATTAGTTGATTGATTGATTAATTGATTTATTGTTTATAAACTAAAAGTAATATATATTTCTGTTCAGGGACTCTCCAAAAGTCTTTTCCAGTTTAAATTTGATGCAGTGAAGTCGTTCCTAGATCGTGATAGGTAATTTCATTAGATAAAAGTTCCTAGATAGTGATTGGGAAATTATTAGATAAAAGTTCCTAGATCATGATAGGTAATTTCATTAGATATCCTAGATCATGATAGGTAATTTTATTAGATAAAAGTTCCTAGATTGTGATAGGTAATTTCATTAGATAAAAGTTCCTAGATAGTGATTGGGAAATTATTAGATAAAAGTTCCTAGATCATGATAGGTAATTTCATTAGATAAAAATTCCCAGATCATGATAGGTAATTTCATTAGATAAAAATTCCTAGATCATGATAGGTAATTTTATTAGATAAAAGTTCCTAGATTGTGATAGGTTAATTTCATTAGATAAAAGTTCCTAGATCATGATAGGTAATTTCATTAGTTAAAAAAATTCCTAGATCGTGATAGGGAATTTCATTAGATAATGATAGGAAATTTCATATTTAAGCATATTTGGTAGTCTATAAATGATGTGTGTTCTATAAATAGCGCAAACTATTATTAAATCGGGGAATAAGGGTTAAGATTAAAGTTCACGAACCCAAGATACCAAATTTTGATTAAAATAGTAGATCCGGGTTTAATTGATTTAATTTTTCTCCCCGGCTGGAAAAATTGGTTGGGGGCCGGCATCTTATCTACATAATTTTAGAAGCTTACCTCTTTTGGCATTAATTTCTGTTTAATAATAATTCTGCGTACAAACCTTGAGATTTGCTCCAACCTTGCGATATAACCACAAGAAAATAAACAATCAAAAAATTATTTTAAAAAAATGTTGGGCTGTCAAATGAACATAAGGGAAATGAACTCAGATTATGAGATGGAAAAAAAGATAATTTGCAGTTATTCACTTAAAAAAATAATGTTTCAAGACAATTATTATTCCTTGAGATTGTTTCTGTCACAAACATTAAAAACAAACTGTTTAGATGTATGTGTACAAAGTGGTGGTGGGGTTCGATCTAATTAACGAACTTATAGGAACTTTTACATCTCTTTTTTAACTTCCTTGGCCCTTCAAATGTTCTGCCAACAATCAAGCTTGTTTTTAAAAATATTTAGGTTTCCAGAACTCTTGACTTTGTTATTTCACATATTGATACATCTTGAACTGAAAATGTTTCTACGTATTTCGGGTTGAAACCCAAAACTACAGAAAGGAATTGAATGGAAAATGGCGCCTTTGGCAATCCTTACATTTCTATTTTATTTAATTTGATTTTTTTATCTCTAGAAAAGAGGAAGATGTAAATGAGTTTGTGTCAGCTGTTTGCTGGAAACAGAATAGTAATGTTATAGTCGCGGCCAATAGTCAGGGTACAATTAAGGTTAGTCATTCATTTATTCATTCATCCATTTATT